ATGAGACTTTGTATCAGTGAGACTGCGAGTCAACCACTTTCCAAAAATTCTGTTTTTATTGTAATACTTGTACTGATTTTTCTAAATATAACCAAATAAAAATAAAACCTAATCAGAAAATACAAAACTATAATAACTGTCTCAAACAGATCTATACATTTACCCCACAATGATCTTCTGACAAGTTAATAACTGAGTGGAAACTGATTAGTATGCTTTGTTTGAAAACTTATTGCATATGTGAGTGAGAATGTTGCATTTTTCTCTCTATAAATCTAAAGTGATCCATAAAGTTTAATGTCTCACTTCCATGCAGCATACTCACTTGCTTCCCTGATAAACCTGTTGGGTGTATTCAGATGTGGCTGTGGCATCGGTGGCTGCAGGAAAAGAGACTATTTTAGCTACAAGAGCACTTACAAGAGTAACATCACTGTGAACTGTTTAGAGCCGAGTCTGTTTCTGTTCATACCAGAATGACCGTACGAGTTAATTGAGTCACCACATGGTTGAGATCCAGCTCCCCTCTCTGCGCTGGACTGCTCCTGTTCACCTGTGGCCACACATGAAAAGTCAATAAACTACAGCAACATTTTTGAACATTATGAGCCTTTGATTTTTAAACATATTCTACTGACCTGGATCAATTTGGGCTGTGGACAAGGCAGAATATGAGTTCTCCTGCTCTGATGAACCTAAAACAGCGGCTGGGCTCCCATCATCCCCCAAATCACTGAAAGAGCAGGAAAAATGTTATTGTAATTAAACAGTAATTTAAAATAGGTGAGCCCATATAAGTAGATACCAACCCCGACTCTTTCTTCAGTTTGCCAACTACGCCAATCTTGGCCTTCTTTGCCTGCACATGCACAAAAATGCAGACACACAAGTCAGACAGCTCACACAATTTAAACAAAGCAGCAGAACACAGTCAGTTTTATTTATTTATGTAGTTTTAATTAAGAAAAAAAAAGGTGCATGGGTTGACATTTATCAGCCAATGTGATATCAGCATTAATAGTAAATGACAACCTTCTGGGTAATAGAACAGTTCTTTACTGCACTGAAAACAAACGATATATAATATAACATCATTATGATCTATGCACCTCAAATCGTCCTGTGTTACAGCCAAAACATTAAACACAATGTACAGAAAATTAGCATAAATAAAGTAGAATAAGTCCATAAAATAAAAGTAAACTAACAAAACAAAACTGCTCAGTTAGAGAGATTAGAGGGAAAGGGCTGAATTAAATAGAAATCTATAGTTTAAAAAAAATACAGGAGTCCAATATGTAAGTAAAATATAATAAAGGTAAAATAATGTTAATAAAACTCAAACTGAATGTTGAATATAGAACTCTAAAAAGTAAAACAGCTCACCACACTGACAAGAGAAAACAGCTGTACACCGCTTTAAATAATTCTTGTGTATAAACAGATTTGTAATACTTTAATAGACGTATTTTGCGGGTAGCAGATGAATCTGCATATCATCGATTGTCTCAATTAACCATCAATTAGCTTTTAGATGATAAAAAGAGAGCAAAAGCCTTTTAATGCTCCACAAAAAAAAAATTATACACTGTGAGAGTATTTCCTGCCTCAAAACAGGCCTTTGGTTGTGATGATGCAGGTAATCATGATTGGTCTATATACAAATAAGGCAAAAAGGTCTGTATAATCTAATTATCATATCATATCATAAGTATATACACTTTCTTATCATTTCTTATCATCATATTTGCATGAACTTTAAGCCACATTTTTGTTATCATACACAAAAACAACAGTTACAGGAAATCAGTAAAGTTACTATGCAAATGACTCCATGCATACTCACCGGCAGCTCCTGCGAGTCATCCATCTCTGCAGCGGAGCGGCCCGACATGTCTGCACACTCAGCCTACTCTCTGTACCTGGAGAGCCTGGCGGGACCCTGCTTCACACCACCACAGAAGCAAAGACAAACAGGCACAGAGTCAATGGTGGGAGCACAGTCTTATATAGTACCCCATACGTGACTCCCCCCTCCCCTTGTCCCATAAAGTGAATCCCTCTCCTGCCCCTATCAGGGTTCGATCAGTAGGAAGGCAGTGGCGATGAAGGAAGTGGGGCACCCTGCTCTAATCTCCAGCACGAGACTCGCAGGTGAGGCACGTGTGGCATTGACGCTCACCAACGTCCTCGCCACTCTGTTTTTACTGCAGGATTAAGGATGCGTGCCACCTTACATGCGAACTAACCTACATTCAACGAAAACATACCCTCTGGGAGCATTAGCTGCTCAGGTGCACGCTCTCGTATCAATAGATGCCCCGGGGGGATAAGATCTAACCTCGTTTTGTCCACTGCTCACTTTAACGGGCCTCTGCCCACAGCTGGAGGGATGAGCATTTACTCAACTGACATAATGTAAAAGCAATCAGAGAAAATAGGTCAGTCTGCAAATTAACACCAAATCAATGTGTCAGGTAGGTGTTGTTCTTAGAAGTGGTTCATTAAAGAACATGCAGGCTTGTGCGAGATTTAGATAAGTGAATTAAAAAATATATATGCTAATGACATTTTTAAAGTTAACTGAATTAAAACGAGAAAAAAATTATTTTGCAGGTCTCTCATTTAAGAAAATGAATTATTAATTGATCACTGGATTACCAAACATCTTTATTATATGAGTTCTCAGTCTAATGAATGCCTTCTGCAAAAAACAAAAAGACCCACTTAAACCAACAGATATAAATACTTATATAATGCAGCTGCAACATTGGCCAGTAAATTAACAAGAAAATAATAATTGTAGTCATTTATATGTAAAACCTTGAGTCAGCTTTTCAAATGGGAAGATGTGATTTAATTTTTAAAATCATAGAGTAAAAACTGAGTACCTTTCAGTTTGTTGTTTGCTGGTCAGACAAAACAAAACATAAAATAATAAAGAAAACCAAAAAAATTAAAAGAGAGCTTTCTTTCTTATTTTACTTCCACTTGACAGAGAAAAGATTAAACAAGTAAATAATTATTTGATTGTTTGATGGATTTAAAAAAAAAGTAATTTAAATGTATTATTCAGGTTTGCAGAGTCATCAGCCCATTTGTTTTCCCCTAGGGATCAATAAAGTATTCTGATTCTGATTGATTCTGTTTGTGAAGATAAGAGTCATCTGAACATTTTTAACTGACCTTGTGTATAATGGCAAAAATGTTCTGGGTTACAAGCAGCTACATTAAATACATATATGAGTGAGCCTTGTTGACCGCTATCAATCTGTCAGCAAACAAAACATTTATCTGGTAGTCCCATTATGTTTTGGCTGACAGTTAAAAGACCTGAAAAATATTTTTAAGGTATAATTTTATTACATTATGATGATAGTAATAAAAATAAAAAAAAAAGGTCAAACAGAACATACAGGGAACAAACGCTACAACTACAGGCTAGTTGTTGCTTCAAATACTGATATCAAGACCACTGAATTCCATGTACTGTGTAGCTATGCGTAATAGACATTTTTGGATAAGTCAATGAAATCCCAACCAATAAAAGTCTTAGTAACATTTTGATAATTCAGCTAAATTTAATTTGGATGTGCCAAAATTAGTGAATTGCATGTCAGAATAGGGCTGTGTCAAGTACAATACTATAAATATAGTATAATGTAATATAACATAATATAATAAAAATAATTAAAATATACAAGGCTAGACAGTACTGGGAAAGTTAAAAACAATAAAAAAAAATTTAAAAATCTACATTTACTACTGAACCACAAAGTTGCTATTGAAAAGCTTCACGCGCCTTCTGCAAGCTGCAGACAAGCGATCTTCCAGGAATTTTCGGGACATCTGACTGGTCAGTAGGTGGTGATTTCATGCTGCTGCATAGCAAGTTAGGTTTGCAGCACAAGTTACCATGGCAATATAAGATGTAAACTGCCTTCCTAGTACAGAAAAACTAAGGATTAACCCTGAAGTTACCTGGATAAGCCCAAATCCTGCTTGATAAAACAGGCTTCTGATGGCGTCCTTTCAATTGCTGTGGTTTGTTTTATTTAAGAAGGGCCAGGCCATATTTAATATGAATATTCTATGAATATGAATAAGAATAACACGAAAGGGAAGTGTACAAAGTACACAAAAAAGTAATAAAGCATTAAAAAACGACATATGCAGAGACAAATAACAGAATGACAAAACCATTACTACAAATTTTAAAAGCCTTACTACACATTTTTAATATATACATTTAAATGACTAAAGCAATATGTGGTTAACACGGATTTATTATTACTAATTCACAACTCTCTCCTTACTAATAATTACTAATAACTGGTATCGCTCCTTTAAAATGTCATATTGACTGCCGTGTGCAGGCTGCAAATCTGTGTGTGGACTGTTTGCTCTAGTGCACATGCTACCATCGTTGTTTGTCCTGTATGTTATTCTAGCATTAATCCTGGAACGACAGATTGCATCAAGTCATGCGAAAAGTTCCCATCCATGACATCTCCAAATGCTAACAGACTACCGTTAGGTTAGCTGAATTTAGCACCCGGGAACAGTTTACTGTGAAGGTGAAGCCAGACATCGGTCTACTTCCTGGAGAACAGCAACTCGTCAGTTCTATCCGGGGACAACCGAAACATTAATTCGCACAGCATACTAAGTCAGACGTGACTAAATAATTTAAAGTGACTGGCACAAACTAATAAAAGAAAGAAACAGACCCAAGTAAAAAGCACGAACTCACCAGCATTTAGACCACACCGGAACGCTAGCGTCCCAACGTTAGCAGACAATGTCGATTATCACTTATTCTTTAGTGGCAACTTAATTACGGTGAACTTTTCCATCAGCTGTTCAATTTGCATGCACTGCAGTCTTCCCAACCCTGTACACTGGGGAATTAATCACTAGCTGTACTTGTTTTCCCCCGGGCATAAAGTTTCCCGTTCCAGAGATTAGTCGGGACCAGCAGCCATTGGAGTAGGTACTGAAATGGCAGCGTGTGAAAGCATCTCACTTCTGCTACATTCATCTGCAAAGCTGATTGCAAAACAAAAACCCGAAACACAATAAAATCATCGAGACACGTCTTACCATTGAAGGAGCGATGGAGGAACGCTTTTAATTAAGCGCCTTTGGTTGAAACCACCATATGAAGCTTTGTCTGTTGTTAGGGAGCACTATTTTGCAGGAAGTGGTCGTTGCGGACTGTTCTGCGCATGTGCGAAGGGCTGATCCATAGTGAGACGAGAGCATCGCATAGACACAGGTGAGAGCAAAATGCAAACAGCTGTTATTTGAACAGGTGAGCATGCTTTGAATGCGTCCAGTTTTACCTCGGGGTTTGTTTTATCGCATGAAAGCTCGTTTATATCAAACAAATTGTTAAAAAAAATGGTACAGTAAGTTCAGACTTTATTGATTTAAACTAGCTCAGTCTAAGATTTAAAGTCCAGGTGTCATTTTCAACCTTACTGTGATGTTCAAAGGACTGGACACAATAGTAGCACATAAATAAATTAACAATATATGAGCAATAATTCTATTATAATCAGCAAGTATTTTAAAATTTAAGACAATCTTAATGTTGAAAGATTTTTAAAACAGTAGACCAGCCATCTTCTTCCGCTTATCCAGGACCGGGTGGTAGGGGCAGCAGCCTAAGCAGAGAAGCCCAGACCTTACAGTAGTGTTCTAGATTATCTATTTTCTCATTAAAATGTCTTTATTTTATTTTTATTTCATGTGTAGTTTTCACCTGCATATTTAAAAAAAAATCTTTTTAATGTTTTCTCATACCTCAAGTAACTAACTTAACAATAAACTGAATAGTTAACAATGAAAACCACTGTTCGTTGCCTTAGAGTGGAAATATATATGACTATGCACTTAAGTGTGAGTGAACAGTATAATTGTGTAATGTGATCTGTAGTGAGAGTAGTTAGTAAGTGGAAGAGAGTCTGGAGAGAAGAGGAATGAAAGGAGAGGGAAAGCTCAAGTTGAGGTTTGGAGACAAAGTTCGGTTGAGATTGACATGTGCAGAGGAGGGAAAGTGGACACGCTGAACATGGAGCTCCAGGCACCTCAGAGAGGAGGTGGTGGCGACCTCTAAAGGGACCAGCCGAAAGAAGAAGTCTATTTTTCTCTCATTTCTGGCCATCTGAATCTTTTCTCTTCTTGAGGAAATTATTAGAAAGCCTGGAAATACTTTTGTCACAATCCTTGTGATTCTCCTTTGGGAAAAGGCTAAAAGGACTCAGGTGGAAAGGTTAAACTCAACCTGTGACCCTATGGCTCAGGGTAAATAAAAAGGTGTGTCTGGCCAGCTGCTGACCTGTTTGCCCGTTGATGGTGTTTCCAACGATCAATTTGCCTGTGAAGCAAACTGGAGGAAATGGGGCTTGAGTATTTTTCCTTCATCAGAACACCTGCTGACATAGTTTAAATGTAAGGAAGAGATACCTGTTCACCTGCTGTTGTTATCCTCACAGCACAACCGAATTAAGAAGGAGCTAAAGTAAAAGCTGTCAGTATGTAGAAAAATTATTCATTCAGCTTCCATAATTTCATTCTAATAAAATGTAAATACATCTGGAAGATTTCCTGTGAACTTTAACCTCTCTCTTTCTAGCAGAGATACCTGCAGCATGCAATCATTTACAATCTTCAGTTAATAATTACTTTTTAGATTTAGGTCATTAATACAAAAAAAATGATCAGTAGACGAGACTTAGATTTAGAGACTTTATTTGCCATTTCTGACACAGATTACAGTTCAGTTTTTTCAGTTGATCATGTAAATAGTCTTGTTTGTACAGTAGCAGTGGCATGAAAATAAATATACATAAAAAAAATACAAAACAGAAACTTAACGCTTCCAAATATGGAAGAAAATGATCTAGAGCTGTGTGCTGCCTTGTTTTTTTAGTATGATTATTTTCAGCAGGCTTTAAAATTCTTTTCTGAGGATGCAGAAACCTGAAATTTGGAGATTTTAAAAAATGGAGTAAAGATATCATGAGTAATCCGTGCTCAGGTGAAAAGCCTCTCTTAATAATGACTATCAGAGCATAAAGTTGCCTTACACTTTTGATAAAAAGAGATAAAATATTTAATTCTTTCCGTGTTAACAATATTTTATTGCACTTTCCAGAACCATCTTACGCAGGAGGCCCGAGGCTCAACAACGCCAGTGCCTACTCCACCCAGCGGGTTCCTCACCGAGTTCATTAAGCTTTTTTCTTTTAAAGATATCTTTCTAGAAAAAGGAACCAACAGGTTTAGGGGGAAGAGATATGTAGATACATTATACATGGATCAGGCCGCCTTGGACAGGCACAAGACATTCACAGTTCTTCTCTACATGATGCATAAATACACAGACATTTGTGATCATAGACTCTACAGTTTGTCTGGAGTGTTTGCAATAAAACAGCAATCACTTTTAAGTTAAAATAAGATTGATATACAGTATCCATGTGCTATCATTGATGTGGGGCTGTTATTGCTGGTTGAACTCTTCCTTAGTCCTTTGTAAAGTTTGCAAACAGCAGATATAAACTAATGTAGTCGCTAGATGAAGATGACAAGGAAGTGAAAACCCAAAAATAAATTATATTGCTTTGGATGAAATAAATCTACTTGGATATTTTGATACACTAATCGACATTTAGAAATTATTCATAATCTAGTAAACAGTGAATGTTTGTGGTTAATAAAATATATGTAACTTCTTTTCTTTTTCTACACAGTACAATAAAAGTTCAGTTCATGAGGACAAACGGGTCAAAAATAAAGTCTTAATGAGTCTGTTTGGTCCAAGAAGTACTAGCAGGTGCGTAATATCGAGATACTGTCGTTTCTTTTTTGTTCAGAGCAGAGATATGAAGCTAAATAAGAGATATACAGCTGTCTAATCCAAAGTTTCTGATGCTTCAAGCAAAATAAGCTTTACTTTTCGTGACCCTTGTTTCCTCGAGTGCAATTGAGCATTCACATGAAAACAAAACACAGTGTGAACATTAAGAAAAACGCAGAGCTTGGACATATGTAGAAATGAAATGAAGGCATCACCTCGTCACCTCGTCAAAAGTCCAAACAAAAGAAACTGCCTCGATGTTTTTGCTTTTTCCGATATAGCTGGCTCTGCTGTTGTCGTCCGAACTGCCTTTTGAACTTCAGGCACTTCTCTTCATGTCACTTCACCGGAGCCATCAGAGATGTTTTAGGGCCATGACGTGCATCCATACATGGCACATATGTATTGCAGTTTGATGCCCTACAGACAGGCAGAAGTCTGTAGGGCCAGCTGTGTTGTAACATGAGAGTCCTCCATCTGTACACTGGTCATGCACAAGCTAACTCAAGATCTGACCCTCATCCCTCAGTGTTCTTGTCAGTTAGATCCTCTTATAACGTCCTCCTAGACAAGCCGCTCCAGTTTGGTCCATGTGTCAAAGCAACACAGTCTGGAGCTTTTGTCCTGCTTCCTGCTCATTCTCAGGACAGACAGGAAGAAATGTTGGCGATCACATGAAGGAGTGTCCGGCTGGAGGCCCGTAAGAGAAGCCGGGAAAGGCTCCGGCTGCTTCTTTGACGCTGCTGGTCACAGTCAGCGTGTCTGTGCAAAGAGAGGAGGACACTGGCAGGTGGGTGAACTCGGGGTCAAAGTGTCGCAGGTCCGTGGGACCAGACTGTAACACAAAGATGGGGAAGACGTTAGAAAAATTGCATGTATAATAATGAATTTGCCACTGATATCAGGGTGCTTCATAGCATAAGCACAATGTCCACATTCACTAGATGTATGACTTTCCTTCTATTTCTGACTATTCCATTAACAAAAAGGCTTTGGATTTCCAGCAGATGTCAATAAAACAGACGCAGTAATATTGTAAATATTGTGTAACTGTTCTTTTTAATGCTTTTGTACAGTTATGGTTAAAGCCGCTCATGCACTTCCAATTAATATTGCATTAATGTAGTTCGCTATAATCGTGAAGTGAAACATGAAAGTGATACTGTGATAGCCTTGTTCTGGGACAACACATCATTCTGATTAAATTATAATGAGTAATACATACCACTGATGGAACAAATGGAGGTGTGATCTTCTTGGCCATCAGGTCCTCCCAGTTGATTGGAGAGAAGAACGAATGGTACTTCAGTTCAAGCTGAAGGAAAAAAGAGAAACTGGATGAGCACAGTGATGGAAAACAAGTGTCGCAATCTGTTACAGTCCTGTATGTTAGCCATTCCCAGACTTGAGAGGTCTGTGGCACATTTCAATATGTGAAAATCCTTTTTGGACCACCCAAAACTTTAATAACAGCTTTGATCATCACGCAAGCCTAAGATCAAGTATTTCCTTGTTTTGTGCTTGATTTTGGACGAGTTCGGGTTCAAAAGTAGGTCAGAAAATGAGGAATGATTGTGTAATTATTTTAATTCCAACCCTTTTTTTTGACTTGTTGTATTTCTTTCAAAAATGCAAACCCTTAACTGCAACTTTATACTAAATTATACTGTTGAAGATTAATGTTTTTAATTTACAGCAGGTGACTTCTTGCAGCCCAGTTGCAGTACTTGCAAAGGCCACTAGGGGACTGCAGCCCACAGTCTGGGAATCAGGGCTCTATGTGATGTGTGCACTTACAAAGTCATCCTTTCCTCCCAGCCTCTTGGTGCGGTCCTTCTGCAAAAGCCCCTCGAGCAGGTCCCTGCCTGCATTCGACACGTTGGCCTTGAGCACCGGAGCCTTGTGCAGGATGTTACTGTACATCTCAGCCGTGTTGCGACTGTAGAATGGAGGCTGTTTCAAAAAAAAGAAAGGAGTTGTGTTAATCTTGTATAAACAATCAGGAGATCTAAAAAGGCATAAAGTCACCGGTTTCCACTTACAAGTCCATAGAGCATTTCATAGAGCACCGATCCCAGGCACCACCAGTCGACAGTGCGGTCATACGCCTGCTTCTGGAGAACCTCAGGAGCCAAATACTGAGAGAAAAAAGAGAGACAAAACATGAATGCAAGTCCAAAATTATTCCTCAGAAGTCGTACTGAGGTCATACTAATGCTGAACAAATGTCTAAAGATGTATCTTTTACCTCAGGCGTCCCACAGAAGGTTGTCGTGGTACCGTTGGGCTCAAGGCCTTCTTTGCAGAGGCCAAAGTCTGTTAGGACAATGTGGCCCTGTGAGTCTAGCAGGATGTTCTCTGGCTTCAGGTCCCTGTCAAAAACAAGACAGAGAAATGTTTACTCTAAATGCATCAGGGCACAGGTTTACAGATGTCCACTAGGGGGAGCTGTGGCATCACTCTTTACCTGTACACTATGTGCAGAGAGTGGAGGTAGCCAAGTGCACTTGCAATTTCAGCAGCGTAGAACCTGGCTCTGGGCTCCAGGAAGATTCTTTCTCTCTGGAGATGGTAGAACAGCTGGAGTAGAAAAAAGCAAACATCTGTCAGCATCTGTTTCAAACAAGGTTATATATTCTGTCCTCATTCTGCCGTATTGTGGCTTACCTCTCCACCGTTGACGTAGTCCAGCACAAAGTACAGCTTGTCAGTAGTCTGGAAGGAGTAGTGCAGCCCCACCAGGAAGGGATGCTTGATGTTCTTCATCAGCACACTGCGCTCAGCCATGATATGCTTTTGCTGGAGGAGAGAAGATGGATTATAACATGCCGTTTTCATTGCATTTCACATTACCAGCCGAGAGAAAATAGATAGAGGAGGGGTCTTACCTCTTTCTTCTTCAGGATGATTTTCTTCTGTAACACTTTGACAGCGTAGTACTTGGTGGTCTCCTTGTGCCGAGCCAGTAAAACCTGTTTGCGATCAAACATTTGCATTAGTAATGTAGTCGCAGAGATGACCTATATGTGTGGAGGAGAGCAGTTACATAAAAGGCTGCACGCAAGGACAGACTCACCTTTCCAAAGCTGCCTTTTCCAATGATTCTAAGGTAGTCAAAATCACAGGGTTTGATCCTAAAGAAGAGAAAAAGATAGAAAATTTCATTTATAATTTGTTCTCATTTATGTTTGTCAAAATTGTGGCATAGAGATTTCTTTGAAGTATACTTACTGAGTGTCCTCAGCCAGTGAACTTTGAGAATTTAGGCACATCTGAAAGATACAACACGGGGAAGATCACAACAGTGCCGCATTTTACAGATAAAATGAGTCAGACTGTGATGAAAGTAAATAGTTTCTGCTTACATCACTATCAGGAAGTTCATTTTCGACCTCCTCATTCTGATTCTCATCAATCTTCAGGAAGTTGTTAACTTCGACACTGAAAACAGAGAGACAAAGACTTATTCATACGGAGGATTCTGACTTCACCTGGTTTTTATTCAGCACAGATGATTGGATTTGAGATTTCTTAAGAGGTTTCTGAAACTGAGAAGCTGAATGGATGTCCTCTGCGTGGGTGCGACTCCAATGACTGTCTGAAACTTCCAGACAGGTCAAGTTCACCAAGGCTTGTCAAAGCTCAACCTGTCTGAGAAAACCTTAAGCTGCTGATCCGCAAAGACAGGGTTCAGCCTGCTCTGCAGGACTCAGGGGTCCAGCTCAGATGCCCTCCTGGAGCATCTGGAGAGGTCAGATGCAACACCTGGGGGTTTTTTTTGTCTTTTTCCCACCCCACCCCACCCCACTCTGATCTGTGTCACGGGCCAAGCCATGTATCATGTAATAATTGAATTACAGGTTTATCCTTGTCAAGGGAACACAGGGGATTTGCTTGAGAGGTGATTATGCAGTGGTGAGATTGTTAGCAAGCCTGTCATGAAAGAACTATTCTTAACTTGGCTTCTTGGACCCAGATTATGCTTTTAACAGAATGTCCTGCTAAACCCAGGTGGCTGATTGGATTGGTCGGGACCTGTGCGCACTAATCATGAATGGGATAGCAGTTAGAAATAAACACTAGAAGCTGAAATCCAGGAAGTAACTGGAGCCAAGAGAGATGTTCTTTGTGTCCTCACTTAAAGGTCAATTTTCAAAACCAAAATCTTACACTTCCAACCATCTCTATTTGTTTATTTTATTTTAAAATGTGAATACTCACTGTTGGCAGATATGTGGAGTAGACACCAGCTTCTGGATGAAGTCATTCAGACCCATTTTTCTCTCCTTGATGAAAGCTGCAGAAAAAGAGGGAACCCCTTTATGTTAGTATGATCCAATCGTGAATCGTGATCCAAACACTTCTCTCTAATTAGAGAGAAAAAAAATATCTGTGTTTGAGTCCTAATCCGCAATTTGTGAGTTTTAAATATCGCATTTCCAGTGTAGGCTTGCGTGTAGTGTGTATAGACCTCTTATGTCGCGGGCTTATAGGTTATGCAACCACTTGGGTCATTCATTCAGATACCAACAGTGGCGGCCAACAAAGCATTTCCATCACAAATCCTTATTACAACACAAATAACCCGATTTGACATACTTATTCAGATTTCCATACCGCTTTCGTTTATGTCCAGGTTTGAATTTTCCACCATTTAAATGCAGAACAAAATAAATAAAAAACAATCTTTTTAATTAATTAATTTACATCTGATTTTTATTACTAAAAATAATTTAAAAGACAGGCCTAATTTGTTGTAATTTACAGCTTGATTTAGTGATGGATATTTGGGTAGCGTTGTAAAAACAAGTGTAATTTTTTAGGCTCACCAGTGAGAACAGCTACAATTCCCCTCATTTTGCAGTAAGTTAGATCACATCCAGCTTCAGTCACGGCCATGTTCAGCGATAAATAAATATCCAAAAGTTTAAAAATATGAAGCAAAAAGATGCAGTGATATTTCCTCTGTGGTCCTGGTCCTCTAACCGTTAGCTACCGTTGGTTTTTTATGTGGCATCAAACGCGCAGACTGAACTCCAATCGTCCGCGCTCCGCTCTGAACTGCCGCTGCTCGAGCCAGCCAATGTAGCTTATAGGGGGACCACGTGGTATCAGGAGGTGACGCCCCGTTTTCGTCACCGTCGTCTCCACGGCAACAGTCTCGTGACGTCACGGGATTCCGCTGCAGCCATATTCTGCCTGCAGGAGGCGAGGTGGGGGGAATTACGAGAGAGCCCACCGCATAGGAGGAGGAGGAGGAAGAGGAGGAGGTGGGTGAAAGCACCCCCTACCATACTCCCACCACCAGCACCTCCTCCTCCAACCCCCCCCTCCTTGTTTTCTCTCAATGGAAAATCTCCAAACAGGCTGTTAGCACCACAGGCACAAAAGGGATTATCGCCAGTTATTATGGAGAAGGAGAGGAAGAAGTGCAATCCCAGGAATGGTCTTGTGAAATCATGTGGCAGCAGCTCCCGTTTTCCCCCTGCTGCAACGCTTTCATCTTCTGAGGGTATGCAGAAATGTATGTCACGACTGCTGCATTTCACCCTCAGCCTGCAACAGCTGCAGTGCCTGATCCCAATAACCAACAAAAAGGTGATGAAGCCATAAAGTGCACAGGGGAAAAAAGAAGGAAAAATACTGCATGGCTGCAGACAGTCCTCTATTTAAAGCAAAGAAGTTTCCAGAAATCTCCCTGCGTCTCTCGTTCTAAGTAATTCACTCCAAGTAAAAAGTGTAGCCACGACCTTGCTCACGGCACACACACAAGGTTGGGGTTATGAAGGTGACTTTGCACGATAATTATATAAATTCAGAGGAATAACATTTGACATCATGATCATCTGAGCTTAAGCAGTGATGGGTCCAGCTGTCACAGATGTGGTCCACTAACCCTGTTATATAATTACATAACCGTGCCTTAATGCAGATGGGTATACACTGCCCAGCAAGGAAGGTGAGTGCATGCAAATTTTCCAGGAAGTGTTGACATTAATAGGTATCTGCTGATTGAAAGTGTTATTTAATCTCTCACTGAGTGATAGCAATGATGTTGCAATGCAAAACAGCATTTATTCAATGGCAGCAGGGCTTATGTTTGCAACGCTGCATCTGAATGAGACTTCCAGAACAATGTCCTTTGGTCAGACAAGATCAAAGTGGAGATGTAAGGCACTAATGCACAGCACCATATTTGGTGAAAACAAAACACCTCATACAAGCTGTGGAGTATGGCGGTGGAGAGGTGATGATTTGGGCTTGTTTTAAAGGCACAGGACTTGGGAACCTTCCAGTCATCCAGTTGACCACAAACTCCTTGGAATACCAACGTATTCTTGAGGCCATCTGTCTGTCAATTGAAACACGGATGAAATTGGATCATGCAACTGGGAAAAATCAAAACAAAATTAGTGAAAAAGAAAAGACTTAACGTGATGCAATGATCCAGTCAAAGTCCAGACCTTAATCTGACTGAAGTGCTGCAGTGGGAGCTGTGCATAAATGAATGCCTGCAGACCTCAATGAGCTGAAGTAGAGTGGGCTAAAATTCCTCCACAACAACGTGAGAGACTGATAAAGTCATACAGAAAAATGCAAATGTGCACTGTAGCTCCGGGCTTTGAATGGAAATGCATAGCTGAGGCGGACATTAAACGTTGTTGTTTTTAACCTACCACTGCAAAGTCTGTGTGACGTCCGATTCCACCCACGTGAGAGTAAAAAGCGTAATTGTGCAGTGAATTCACAGTATGTGAGTGGGTGTGATGTGTGCAGGAAGCCCCTAACTAAACCGCACTGAGTATTTTCAGTACTGCGAACGTGTCTGATGAGGCCATCTCCTGTTGTATTGGTGTGTAAAAATGACTTTACTTCTACTTGAGTGACATTTCCAACATGAGGACTAGTTTACACTCTGGTACTGATTAACACCACGAGATGTAAGTCGTCATCGACGGTAGTCAAGCATATGAACCTTGGATCCAATCAGAATATAATTCGTGGCTTTTGAACTAATCATTGCTGTTAACACCAAAAACATCCCTTTCTCTTACCAAATGAAATAACCCTGAGATGCGTTAGCTCTCACAGGTTAATCTGCAAATTAGTATTTATTAGAAAATACTGATTAAATATACTTTTTCAATTTCCTGCAGTCCAAGTGGGCCACTTGGTTTTTTTATTATCAAAAAAATAACAAACTAAACCATCAAGCTTTCAGTTTTGAACAGTAAATATTGAGCATATTCACAGAAAATTGACTAAAACTATGATTTTATGATCAGAATTTAAAATTTTCCTTTGATTAACTGTTCACTTTATGGGCTGCTGACTTGTACTTCACTTTAAGACTGTAAGCGCTTACTTCCCCTCAGCTGTGATAAACATCTGTTTCGGTAAGATTAGGATTCATTCAGCTGAGATGTGTCAGTGGGAAACTCCTCTGTTTTTGTCCCTTTTGACAATGTGACAGTCATGCACCATTTAAAGGAAGTGAGACTCCTCAGGACCAGTTCATGTATTAAGAGAAAAGGGAAGTGGGGTGCTTTATTTGAAGGGGCCCAAATAGAAAGTAGCTCAGAGCCAGCTGGCAGTATGACAGATCAAACCCTGGATGGCTACCTAAGCAAACACACACAGCTCAGCTTCGGTTCTGTTTACACACAGAAACACAGTGGATCTGATTACGGGACACCAACACCTCTCCCTGGCTTGGAATGATGGGGTTCCCCTCCCCTCGTGTAGTCTTTCTGTGAATTATTCAAGTATATTATTTCATCATCTCTCTGCAAGGATTCGTATGACCGAGTTTCTTTCTGTCTCTCCACCAGCGTTACCTTCTGTCACATGACAGATTAATCAGGTTTTATTTAGCACTTTCACACAGGCTGCCCTGCTTTCCATCACTCTGTCCAATCGTGTGATTGATGCTGAGCAGACAGGCAAAATTTCCATTCGCTGACAAGCAGTCGTGTGAGGCACCTGCCAGCCGTTCCACTAAAAGGCTTTCCAGCTCTCACGGGGTGGCATCGACGATAACTTCCCAGCCTCAGCGTGGTACTGATTTTGTCAAATTGGCTTGTGCGCTGCATCAAACACCTGCCCCAGTTTGAGCTTCACATGAGACAAAATGAAACCACATCTTTAGGGTAGAGGCCGAGTAGTAACTGAAACTCATTTAAAGTTACTCGAACGAAGGTAACTAAATAAAATATGACTTTGAGCATAACTTTTTTGAACTCTATTCTTAGTGCTTCGCAAAGAGATAAAAGGTGTAATTTCTTAAAGGTGCTGCATGTCAGAAAGTTATTTTGAGTGATATAACCATTCAGGCCCGTATCTGGTGTGGTGATCCTCTGTGTCATTCAGCTGACTTTCCAGAGATCAGGGCTGGAAGGTTAATTGAGTTTTTATTTAATTTGATGATTTTCACTTCCAGAAAACCTCAAATAATGGAGGTAATTCACCGGAACGTCATATGCTCCTTTTCCAGTCATAAGTCTGCAAAATCCTTCCTGCCCCACAAATCTGTATGTTCTCATTCCCAGCCCAACACTCCCTCTCTCTCACTTTGTCACTCTCTCTTATTGGCACCTGCCTGACCTATGAGCCACCACCGATCCTCGGTGAGGCCTAGGTTGGTGCTGGCCATCCACCCGCCATCTTCCATCAAAAAATGTTGTCTAATTGTGTTTGAGTTTGTGGTCCTTGCTGATGAAGTTGTGATAAGATGAATATTCTTTTGCATTTTCTTAGTTTTTTTCTCATATTGTAAACAGTGTTGCACTTTTGCCCCGCCTCTAAAAGCTCATAATCACTGTTTAGTTTAGTTGCAGCCAAGAAGACTAAAAGAGAGCCTTCAGTCAATAAGATCATGAGGAATGAAAACTCAAGCTTTCTGTAGCTGAAGGCTTATAATGGTTGCCTTTGTCTCCGGATTGCTCAAGCGCTCTCATCCAGTGCACTTGCAGAGGCTATCATACAGGTCACACAAGACACAAAGTTTGGTGTTGCCAAGGAGACCTATTCACCTCCATCTACAGACTTCCCGTGTTGATAGTAGGTCAGCAGGGACGGGCTATTGTTCTTGCAAAATGGATTTTGCAGTCAAAAACCCTCCTTAGAACTGAGAAGTCATTGTTGAGTTCCTTAAATGCATGAAAAGACTTTAAAGTTCATATCCAATTGTGTTGAATAATCCAGATCACAGTATTTTAGCTTGTGCTGAGGTCTCAAAATAAAGCTCTTGCAAACAGCTTCTGTAAAGTTATATATATTCAGATCAAACATCTCAGAACATCAAAGGAGGTGTGAGTATCGATGAGTTCAGGGGACACATTTTGTCCAGTTATTTCAGAAATAAGAGCAGGACTGTAAGAACTGAAGTCGAACAAAGCTAAAAAGCTGGAAATATGACATTAGATGAGAGTTTCAGGGAGTTTTATGGATAAAGGAAAAACTGTGTGTAGTTTTCTGTATCCTGACAGATGAGTAGTTAAAATAGTCAAAAAGGAAGTGAACCCGAGACAGGCTTGGAGTTTGAGACGCTAATAGAACAAAGGGTAACTCAGAAAGTCCTTGTTTCACTCTTACAGTTACATCTGACTGACAATTCAAGACCTCAGAGCTTCTAAACTATGTAAATATTTGTGAATATCGTGTCATTTAAAGAAATTTAAACCATCACAAAACATGGGATATTTTCCATCCACGTGTTTGCAGTAGTCTCCAAGGACTCTGCCTTTTAAACAGCTACATTTAAAGTTATTATTGTGTCAATGCAAGATAAAATGTAAATATAATTATGAGCCACTGAGTTAACATACTTGTGTTGAATAAAAATTGCAGTACATTTAAGCCTCTACATTGGAAACATTTTTCTGTTTTGAATATATCTCTGGATTTTTGAAATGTTGTACGAGCCAAACAAGCAAACAAACATCAATCAGTCCAGAAAATCATTAAAAATATATTTCAGTGCTTCAAATATAATAGTAAGGTTCAACCTGGACTCTCGGCTGGCTGCTTACTACCAGAGTAGTGGGTAGGAGGCAGCAGAAGGTGGATGAATGAGTCATAGAGGCAAACAGGTCCTTGGTGACCACCCATAGCGCTGGCAGGAAGGCTAATGAGGATGGAGAACCCAAATTACAATCGCTGACCAGCTCTGAGGAGCAATCATGGCCTTGTGTTATTCACACCCACGCAGTCATGGCAGCCTTGGCACTCAGTTGAAAACAGATCTCTGCTAAAATCTCTTCTCTCCTCCTCCAGTTCCTCTTTTCTGTGTCATCTGCATCATTCTGGCACCTAGTATTACTCACACAGAGACCCGCAGAGAGCCAGACCGGAGGTGGTGGTCGAGCCCGACTGCGTCGCAGTGCAGCCCCCGGGCCCCTGCGAGTGGGAGCAGATTTTGGCTGATAAATCTGGAGTTAGAATTACTCGCTCTTTGTTTCGCGTTTGAATTCCCGGGCAGTAGATGAGAAGTGTTTTTTATTTTTCTACCCTCCACGGGGGATTAGACGGCTGCTCATGCGCCTGCTTCATCAGTTAAAAAAGAGAAATGTTTGCTCTCTTTTGCGATGACTCAGACACACAAACTGTTCCATAATACATTACTTTAATTTGCTGCCAAGCAAGTAGGAAGATCCAGCCTATTTGGAGCTGCAAAGCCTCTATTAATTTTCATAATGTGACTGCGGTTATTGCTGTAATTACTATAATGATAGCAGAAAGACTTTTTTCATTATGTTCTCTCTTCCAACATGTGTTTTCTCACATGTTAGAAACTCAATTTAGGAAGAAAAAAAGGAAGCAGACAGAAATAAAGACCCAGGAGCCGTTTTCATTCAGACCACCAGACTGTCATTCACTAACTACAGCATCTGTGTGAGCCAAACATCATGAATCAGTGGCTGGTGGTGACTTCCGTCACTGTACGCAGTTCCCTTTTCTCTGTTTTTGCCCTGGATCATAATAATATGAAACATACTGTATAAAAAGCAGCCACGTTTCTAAAGAAGCTCTCAGCTCAGTTTGGCCAGTGAAGGGTAACGTCTCTAGGATACCCCAGAAACAAATAAAGCTTACTCACTGCCGTGGTATTCATTTGGTCCAGTTTATGATCAGTGGTTTATGGCTTTGTAAGTCCACTCATGAGGTCAGTTATTCATTTGGAAGATATCTAGTGGAAATCAATCAAATGCGCGATGAAACCAAAGCAATTAATTAAGTGAGTGAAGTGATTTAGATGGGGACGTTGGTCAGCGTGACATGGATAATCTGAAAACAGTGTCTGTGTGACTGCATATGTTTGCTTTACAAATTTACTGAGCAGCTGACATTAAAGGACTTTCCAGATCGACTTGCATGTAGGCAAAATAAAGCTTGATTGGTTTTATTTATTCAACAGAACAATTTTCAGTTACCTAAGAGCTTCTTTAAGATCAATCCAGTCTGCTCTAAGCCTCCTAAAGATGCCTTTATATCAAACAAATTCTCACTGAGATGATCGAAACCACAAAGAGGGAAGTAAAAATTAGTGGCAGGCTGTGCAATACTTATTTTTTACCAAAATACCAAACAGAGTTGTTCTGTATGTTAAAAAGATTTTCAGATTAACCATCAGGCAACAACAAAGCAGGTTGGATGAGTTTAGGGAACACAGTGCTGTCATTAAAGAGATAAGAGCAGGACCGTCTAAGTCTTTAAACGACTGATCTTAGCTGAAAGTTGGAAATTAAATTACACTGGCATTAGATGAGAGCTTCAGGGAGTTTTATGGAAGCAGGTAAAACCAGATGGTTTTCAATTATGTGACAGCTACTTAAAGACTGATCCAATTACCTGCTCTAACTCTGCTAAAGATGCCTGTAAATCAAGCAAATTCTCACAGAGCCGATCTAAAGCACACTGAGGGAAGTAAAATTTAGTGTCTGGCTTTGAAAATGGTTTTCACAACACTATTAAATAGTTTGCACCCCGCTGCTTTAAAATGCCGTTTGAAGTAGTGAGAATAGCATTATTCTAATATGTGACCCCTTCACTGTGTCCAAACAACAAGCCTTTCTGAAGACGATGACAAAGTCATAGAGAGCCCAGTAGTAACTGGTTGTGTTTCTGCGACTGAAGAAACTGTGTGCCGTGACACAATGACACACTGCACTACAACTCAAAGCTGACTGTCTGACCCCACGAGATAAATTATGCTGGACGATCGTTTGAATGTTTAAGAAAACAACGAGCATCCTCCTGGTCACACTCCTGACCCGTTACACCTTCTTCTTCCTCTGGTTTGGACCCTGTAGATTCTTTTATTGAAAACTCAAGGTTGTAGTCTGACTCTCAGCTCTGAGAGAGTTTCAATCTCTTATAGGGACCATTTTTGGGGAGTTTTTGGTCACATCTGGAACATCCAGGTTTTATAACAATGGAAGCTTTGAGAAAATATCTGTATTGAATATTCTGTCCTGCTAGGTTCTTTCCAGATGTAACAAATGGTGCCTAACAGCAGCTTTGAAGCACACCTGTTAACGCAATACATCTCATTTGTTTAGCTTGAACACAAACCAAAGGGGGATTTCCTGGACTGTATATTTTTTTATGATAGTGATGCCATAGTCATAAATTTCATGTCTCTTGTCTTCATGTTGTTGCAGATAAACAACAAGTTGAGGTTTTCTGTATGCTGTGAGATCATAACTTACATTTTTATAGTTTGCTTTTGCGTTGATTAAACAGAGAAATGTAGTGTGTTATTGAGGGAGCTTTAGAGGCGCTTACAGGCAGATTTTATTACCTTTTGCCAGAGGCCTTCTGTCTCCTCTTTTTCTAGTCTTTATGCCAAACTAAACTAACCATCTGCCGCTTGCAGCTTCTTACATTACATCCAACTCTTAGGGGAAAAAAAGGGTCTATTTTCTTATCCCTTTAAGGTTTAATAACTGTGTGGGCCCCAAACTGTTTTTCAGGCTATCACAAAACACCTGAATCATCTGATCCTTGGTCCGAGTTACAAAACCAAGGCCCAGCGGCAGCTTTTATCCTCTCAGGTGACAAATGAGATGAGATGTACGGCTGTTGCAGAGAGAAGGTGAGAGACTCCGATGTGGGCATCGTGAAAATAAACCAGATAATGTGAGAAGTTATACAGAAGAGGGCTATACAGTGTCTTTGAATTTTTCATCTAATATCTTATGTAACTAGAGACCGTGACGTCAAAGCACGCCGAGGGAATGATAAAGGAGCAGAGATACGACGAGTTAATAAGGAGTCAAAAAAGATAGAATGGTGATTGAAAAAGCAGGGAGGACAGTATTTAGATGACTGAGCTGTAAAAGTTGCTTGTCTCATGGTGCATCCCCCCCTCTCTCTGCTGTGCTGCTGAGAGACTGCACATTTCCCCCCAGATACTCTGAGACAGTGAATTAAAGGAGCACCTACCTATGAAGGATTTCTTGCCGGTCTTCATGTCCTCTTAAGTGTTTGATTAGATGTGATATCAGGCACAGAGAGTCTCTGATGAATGGCTGTCTGTCTGCTGCAGAGCGCCCAGGTGATTGAGAGAGATGCAGTGCTCCTGTAAATATTCCTCCCTCTCCGTATCTGTCTACTTGTCAGCGGCTCCCACTGCAGCTGTGCTCACAAAAGTCATTGATTCACAGACAAATAACTTTCAGCGCTGCACTTCCCTCTTCTCTCTGCCTCTTGTGCTGTTTCTTCCTCTTATCGCACAGCCTGCAAACAGCTGTAACCAAAGATCTGTGACGCACCTTCCTTTCCTCTCCCTCTACACGCATCCCCAACTCTAACCTCACCTCCTCCACCCTCGGCTGTTCTTTTATCTACCTGAAGAGCATCGAACAACACAAAGGCAGGTGTCTGGTTACAGCTCCCGTGAGCACGGGAGTCCCGCCGGAGGGGAAACCAGTCTCCATGACATGGGAACCACCTGAGGAATACAGAGCGAGGACAGAGAGGGGTTTAAACTTGCTTTTAATTGGCCACCACTGCAGGAGTGATGTATTCACTCCCCATCAGCCTCCTCTGCCTCTGCCACTTACTGCCTCTCAGGATTTTGGGGGATAAAAAGACCTGGTTAGTCACACTGACAGCCATGATTGTTTTGTTAGCCTTGAGCTCTAGGTTATCATCACAAACAATGAGTGCTGTGTGGTGAGGAGTGAAGCATGTGGGGGTTGAGATACAGCAGCAACAACAGCATCACTGATGAGTAACACTGTTTCTCTGTCAGTAAAGTGCTGCGGTGAATTATGATTTGCTTTGGGAGGAGTGAGCTGCAGTCATACTGTAATAAATTTACACTCAACAAATCTCTTACTTTGGATCATTTAAGAAAGCGTTGCTGTTCAGTGAGCGTAACTGCTGCTAATTTTAAAAAACAAACAAACATCATGATAGAAATATGAGTACTAACAAACTAAAGTTGGTTTTAGCTTAAGGTGATCACATTCTGGTGAGCTAAAGAAGGTAATGGGAGAGTAAGAAAATGAAGAAGTGTGGTTTTATTAGTGTCTTTATGTGCCTGGATCCAATTCTATGTATTCAAATGAGTCCTGCTGAGATTAGATTATGTTTCAGTTCGACCTGCAGTATCAAAATGCAAAATGCAAAGTACAAGACAGAAGTAAATACACGTGGGTGAAAAAATAAAGTAAAAAACTTGCACTGTGTGTCTCCTAAACTCTTCTAGATGGATGAAATGGTATAATTCCCAAAACACACTGATTTGTTTGAATCTTGTCTGAGATGCTTTGGGAAAATCCTGCATAGGTGCCAACAAACAAATGGGCGACTGTAAAGGTCACGGCATATCATTTGATTCTCATTAAGAACATCAACCGACATTGTGTTGTCTCTTCTCATTTTCTGACTACTGTTTTCGTTTTACTTTAAAAAAAAAAGTATTTTTCAGTATAACATACATGACAAACACGTGTGTATGCAGTTAACATATTACTATAAACAGGTTCCTTAAACTTACAGCTCAGGAGCTCAGTTAACAAACAAGCTTATGAACACAGTGACTCTCTTGTTTCGTAAGACTAAGGAGGCCCCAGGGGGTTAATTTGTCACCTGTTTCTAGAAGCTACTTTGAATGGAGCTGCAGACCTGGGACTTACAGATAGGTCAGTTGGTCACAAATACAATGAGACCTGGAGGTTAACCTACTTGTGACTTTTTTTCTTGGGAGAAAAAATTGGCAAAAGTAAATTGATTCAGGATGAACACCAGCCAGACATCAGTTTCCTTTTGTATTTACATGCAGCTGATATTTCATCAGTCTGATCTCATATCTATTGATTCGTGTCAATGTGTAATAAAGCTGGATGTTTTTCCAGTTTTATAGGGCACAGAAACCCACATTTGCCAGAAGGAGGGGTCGATGACAAAAGAGATGACAGTTCATGTTCCAGTGGAAATGATCATTTTTACATTTTCTTTGGTATTATTTGTACTTCTCTTCGATTTAAACACCAAAACTTCTCGGTTAGGTTAAATTTTAGGCAATAAAACTTCTTGGTTTGGTTTAAGGAAAGAAAAGTGTTGCAGACATTCAAACACATTCGTTTCAGAGTGCTTCTGTTTGTCATGTGACAGCTGGTGCCTATGCTAATGAGTGAATACACTGCTTTGTTGTTGCTTTTTTACATTCTGCTGTGAGATTGGGCTGAAAATGTATTCAGGTGGAGTCCAGGGTACTGTAGCAGTGTTCTCCTCCAAAGAGATTTGACTGCAGCAAGTTGGAAGGAGCGCTAAGCTGGCTTAACCTGGAAAATACACGGTTTATCCTGTTAGTTATACGGCGCAGAGGAAGGAAAACTGTAATTATTATTAAGTGAGATTACTAGAGGTATGGAGAAAGAGCTTCTTCTCTCTGATTCTGACACAAAAATCCTCATGCATATCAAATGTTACTTTTTGATACCCCCTCTGAGAAACTGTCGAAACCTTCACAGTCAGGAGGCGGGAGCGTGATGACTGTGTGAAAACAATCTGCATCGCTGTTAAAAAGAACAACCGCTGTCCAAAAACGAAGCTTAAATGAAGTTGCATATTTATTATGTGACACATTTCGCAGCTCGCTCATTCTGCCTCTAATGATACAGAACAGAAAGCATCTGATGCACAGATTCGTGCCCTGTTGCTGAACTCAACTTCACGCAAACAAAAACTTCACCCACCACCAGCTGATGAGCGACATTTAAATTTCAAAGCCATGAGAGGTCGGAGAAAGTTTACAAATGTTTGCATTCAAATTATGCTCAAAAGAGAGAAGTGAGCTTTGCCTGACTCGTTTTATATCCACCGCCCTCTGCTCGAATGAATGCACTTTGCCAACAAACATATTTTCTCAGCCTGCTCATCACCTCCACAACATAGTTCACAGGGAAAGTGAAAATAAATACAGACTGGTATCATGTAGCTTGAGAAATGGCCACATGGATGGTTTCTTTGAAGACAAAGTCTCAGCCTGAATGCTTCATGATAATAAGTCTGAAATCGAGAATCATCACCAACACAGCGATTTGTGACTGGACAGATTCGCGTGTAATTTCTATTAGGGCAGAGTGTGAGCAGAGGAAGCATAACGATATGAGTCAGTGAAGGAAAAGGCTGATTATGTGGCTGGATGTCAGACATGTGACTGTTTGTCACGGACAATCTTTGCTTTCATTGTCGAGGAGTCAAGTGTTTCACCAATGAGGAAAACAAAAGGTTGTTGTTTACTTGACTTTTCCAGAAAGACAGTATGATTTTCTGTTTTTGCTTGACTGGAAAACTCCATCAACACGGTCAAGTGTTTTTAATGGTTTTGTGGATTGTGGCATGGTTGGCAGTGCTGTCACAGTAAGAAGGTCTGGGAGTTGAACCCTCCAGCTGGTTATGAGGAGTCTCTCCCTGTGCCTGCGAGGGCTCTCCGCAGGGGCTCCAGCTTCCTCCCACAGTCCAAAGCTATCCAAGTTAGGTTAACTGGTGATTCTAGATTGGCTGTGGGTGTGAATGTGAGTGTGAATGGCTCTCAGTCTCTCTGTGTTAGCCTTGTGAGAGACTGGTGACGTGTGCAAGGCCTGCGCCCTATGACACCTAAGATAAGCTCCAGCCCCTCCCCAACCCCTGAGCGGAAAGAAAATGGATTTGTTTAGTACTATACAACAGCAGCCCTGTGTATCCAAAGCAAATTTACCTCTTATCATGTCTTAACTGTGACGCACTTTGTGAATTGAGGTTATTTGCTGGTACTAAGATAAAATCTGCATGAGAAATGTACACAGTAATGCGGGTCCTTAAAATGTCTTTAGTAAACATTTAGTGATACAGCAAGGCTTTAAAGACTAGCTGTAATCCTCTGCTATCAGAATATATGATTTGAGGTTTTGAGTTTTTAAAAATCAGAGAACAAATACATAAATATTAAACAAATGGACTAAATACATACAAAAATGTGCTTTGTTTTTCTTTAAAAGACAAAGTTGGGGTTACTTTTCAAACTTCACACGTTTAAAAGTAATGACATTTCAGAAAACATACATAAGGAAAATAATTGGTTAACATCACATTTAGCCTACTGAATTGTTATTTTACAAGATGGGAAACAAGGAAGAGTTGGCTTGGAACTATCACAAAGTTAAAAACAATCCCTGCTAGTCAACTCTTTTTTTTCTTTCTCTTGTTTGCTTCCATGTTTTCGAGAGGTTCAGTCAGTCTTGTCATCATTGGCATCACAAGGGATTTAGGATATATCTAGATGCACAGAAAAATCTCTCCATCCACATGGAGATACAAAAACGGATTAAAAGTGCTATCAAGAGCAACAAGTGGCGTATTTATAATTATCAAAATCTAGAAGCAAATCTAAAACATCATTTAGGTGGGAGCAAAAAGCAAAAAAGGAAAGAAAACTCACTTTTTCCCAAAATACCCATGTACATGTGGACAAAGCCTAAGAAAACAAGATATTACCTGTTTTGTAGAGACATTGCATTGGCAGCAGCAGAACAGCCTCCTGTTTCACAGAGCTAGGCTAACCGTTTCCCCATGTATACAGTCTTAACACTAAGCTAAGTTAGCCAGATTCATATTAGCTTCATAATTAACTGACAGGCATAAGTGAAATCAGATTTGTAATCTGCACAACGTTCATCTAATGTTAAATGTAATGCTGACTGATTAATATTTTGGCTTTTTACAAACAAATATTTAGAATTAGCTTGCACCAGGTCCTCAAGTGTTTTCTCTTTTCTTCTGTTTCATCTTCTTCTTTCAGCCCCAACCACTAGGGGTCTTTACTGTGGCTCATCTGCCTCTATCTCACTGTAAACCTACCTATCAACTTCTGTTACACCAACCCTCTCCATGTCCTCCTTCACATAAATCTTCTCTTTGGTCTTCTTTCTTTCCTCATGCCTGGGAGCATCATCTTCAGCCTCATTTGTCCAATATATCAACTATCCCTCCTCTGCACATGTCCTTTTTAATATATATATATATA